TGGGGACAGTATTCAAGCGAGCGCTTAAGTGGTGCTTGGCCGGGGGACTAGACTGAACGCCAGTGTGCAGTCAACTGGAACAATAGGGTTAACAGTAACATAATTCCTGGAGGAAGGGGACTCGGGTATACAGTTCATTTCTTGAAGGAAGGGGACCTGGGCACGCAGTTCAGAGCAAATTAAATCGAGGATGACATTGACGTGGTGAATGTCACAATAACAATATCTTTTTGCGCTCGATTTATAATTTAGACAATTGACGTCGGATATGGTCTATGTTTTGATACATCAAAGGTGTCTAAAGATGGCGGATACTGACGAGGCCAACGATGCGCCCGTCTTTAAGTCCACTGAAGAGTATGGTCAGACAAATAATCTCCGCAATAGACAGCCTAAACGATTAAACTAAACAAGCTATGTGCTGTCGTCTTTAGCGCATAGCCAGAAACTCATAACTGGCAGAGAGGTCGAACAAGAAGGAAAATAAACTACTGAACGACTTACAGAGCACATGAATCGCGCAGGACAGTATAGAAGCCGGAGTTTTGCTTCGATAGGACGATAGTAGAACCTTATGGCCTTATACTAACAGGTATGGAAAGTAGGTGCCACCAAGCTCAGTGTATCATTACAAGCACATCCAAATTCCTCATGCAGCGTTCGGCTTAGTGAAACACTTCAGGCAAGTGGCGCCAATTGTTAAGTAAATGGAACTCACAATCACTAAAATTGCCAGTATCTAGCAGATGGAGGGGCAGATTTTACCATTCGCAAAGCGTTGTGTTATCATTGCATACGGTCTACCAAGAAATTTCAGGCAATATATTCAAAACAAGATAAGTCTTTGGGGTAGAAACAGGTGATCATCGAAATGCCGCGGCAAAATGTTCAACGCCAAGTTTGGGATGCACAACAAATCGAGCGAGAGCTTGGACAAGTGATAAAACGTTATTTCCATATCAGTAGTTTTCAGATGATCGTTTGACTGGCGTGCTCAACAGCGCTGTGATTCAGACAGACACAATTTTACCGGAGCAGACACGATATGAGAATGTTAATTCAATCACTACGAAAACGACTGTTTAAAGGTGACACTAGTACATGCATCTAATAACGAGCGAAGAAAAGATACCAGAGAGGCACCTTGAAGCCCTTAACTTGACAACCTAGATTCAATTGAGTATAGCTAAATGTTCGTCCAGTCGCGAGCGAATACGAATATCAAAACCGATATAACGAAAATACCGAAGATGGTTTTGGTTTCATCCATTCCCAGGCTTTCGTACCTATAAAATACTTGTTTAGGTTTTATGGGACAACTCGGAAGAACACTCGTAGTGTCATACGGTCCAAACATTAAAACACAGAAGCTACCTGAATGCAGATCACCACACTCGATAAACGTTGGTTTAATCGGGGGCATTGTGTCTGAATCATCCATCTTTATCAGAATACGATGGAATTCAGGAGAGGGAAAGTGATAAATATCGCGAAATTATTCACCCCAAAAAAATCATGTACTAGTTACAAATGTGCCGCGGAAGTTGACGGCAGTGGCCTCTGACGGATGTGCCTATAAACACAGCCGCTCACACAGTATACAAGTGTTGGTATTCGGTCAATGTTTAAGGCAAGGTGCACGATCAAAGAATAATTTAGGATATCAAAAACTTACCCACGATCACGGAAGAACTTTTTCAGGGCACTACTAAACTTCCGGGAGTAATCGACGAATTTACGCATGTGGTCGTCGAGACCTTGCTTGGTCACCCCAGACGGGAGAGCATTTAAGATGAGATTAATGCAATCCAGGAGATTTTTAATGGCATTAGCAATTTGTCTAAAATACAGTCAATAAGATGAGGACGCTTACTTTATAAGTGCAATAAATTCATTTCGATGACCAATCTCGGTAGGGATTCGGCTGAGGACATGTTTTAAATCAGCAGCATTTTTCTCCAGCACTTGGCAGTGAGGAACACTCGAGAGATAATGTGGAACTTAAAAGAAGATCACAGCTAGCATGTCTTACTTTCGACATCCATCGATGACAGTCGCAACGTCATTTCTTCGACGTCTAAAACGGTTTCAAGTCCAAAGCGTTCCATGAAGCCCCTGAGAAAATCCTGAATAAATCCAGGAAGTTTTCGGTCGACCTGATTAAATCATCACTAGGATAATTATGATCTTACACTGTCAAAAGCTTGCTGTATGCTTAAGACATCCGCTCTAATTCTGTCTGCCTGCTCTGCATCGCTACAAGATTGCATCATGGTTCGCACATTCTGAAGGAAATGAAATATTAAAAGCAAAGGTTACGGATTCCACAGTCTGTGCCAGAATATCCGGCAAAATGTCCATTGATCTCGCACTTCCGGACATGGGACAAGACGCCGAAAGCCAAGATTGACAGCAGATACGAAAAACGCGCACGGCAAAGAAGGCGGAAAAACAAAGAAACTTATAAACTGGAAGGCAGGCATCTCAAGAAATGTAATTTAAAGTAAAGGCGTCCTCCTTTTCTCGAAGGACGTCTTTCCTTGTAAAGAAACTTTGATGTTCACAACCTGCTTTGTACTTTTTAATATTATTAGTAAATTTGCAAGACTGAGACGTAAATCCCAGGACCTTGAGTTGTGGCTAGGCTTTACTATTATTTGGCTTCATTTGAGGCTCTCATATCATCCTTTCTCATGAGGAAAATTCTGAAACGTCCAACTATCAAATGATTTATAGACTCCAAAATCAAAGAGGAAGTTTCTTACCGTGTTTCGGGCAAAAAGGTGTTTTTTAGTCGGTCTATGAAAGGGAAATGCGGGAACGGAGGAATGACTTGAAGCAGGGAGTGAACAAAAGGTACATAGCACTGAAATCAAGGACCAAAAAATAATTCAGATGAAGTAGTCACATTTGTGGAAAAAGCCCGTCACAGTGAAGTCCGGACCTCCCCAGTGCAAAAGCGAACGACGGTACAGTTATTTTCTCCATTAGACTGTATTGGAGTTATGAACAGATAATTTGTAAGATTCAGTGCAATATTTTAGGCATCATTTAAAAACCTAAGACTGAAGAAACAGCAATAAATCAGAGAGGTTAGACAAAGACAACAACGTGGCGATGACATACACCAATATAGAGTCTGTTCAACAAAATAGACGAGCCGAAAGTGGCCGTGGACCATTTGGAACCTGACCTCATAGCTCTAACTGCACTATGGTTAAGTGAGCAAATAGCAGATGCAGAAGTCCGAGTGGAAGCATTTCAACCGATCAATATGGACTGAAATCAACGTAGGAGTGGGGGAACCGCAATGTTCATACATGATGGCATTGACTACATACCGAATAAGTCGTCATCAATCGAGAATATTGCATGTGAAATATTTAGTTGAAAATTGAGAGGACCGAACCAACAGGACATCCAATTGCCCTGGTGTACAGACCCCCAGGATAACAGACGGATACGAACGGTATATACAATACTGAGGTCAAAGGAATTTGTCGTAGAAAAACACGTCTAAATACCCAGAGATTTCAATTCTCCAGACACTGACTCGGAACTGACGTACAGCTCGAGATCAGAAAACTCATACTTGAGTTAGCTACTGACGAATTCCTTACCCAACATGTTACAATGGACACGTGGTTCCGAAGTGGCCAACAGTCTAGCTGTTTTGATCCCGTCATTAAAAGAGATGAATATTTTATCCTTGAATTGAGTTCTCAGACCCCTTTCGGCCAAATTGGTCATTGCCTGCCTCTTTAGAGTACACCCACTTCTCTGTACTCGTCATTCTATCAGTAAGCGATAGGAATATACGGAATGGGAACTGTCAAAAATTAAAGGACTACTAAATTAGATTAACTGAAGCCCTGCACACGAACCTGACGCAAACACCGCCTGGTGCTTCTTTGAGGTCCTGGACCGCGCGTCTCCCGGCCGAAGTGGGTGACGCCTGACATAGCAAGAAAACTCAAGAACAAAATGACTGTGGGAAACACACGGCAGCTATTAACAACCTGACCATTTCCCACGTTTAAGAAGCAGCGAAAGCTGTTTTAAAATCTTGTGTGGAAAGGACGATATGATTTTGAATCACGAGTAGACAAATGAATAACAAACATCTCAGAAAGGTCCTTATCATACGTAAGTAAAGCCAAACGCAATCAGAACCCAATTCGTTGTCTGAAGGACAATCAGAGAACACGTTAACCGATAAAGTATAGAAGACAAAACTTTTGTCTAAATTTTCTATGTCGATGTATACCGAGGAGCCACCTTTTGAAGAGGGAGCGATGTATTGTCACACTAACAAACATTTTAGTACGATTTCAACCGTGTTCGCAACAGACACGGTACGAAACATCCGGAGGCGGCTACGGCCCACTAACACGACTAGTTCGGAGGGCATATCAGTGAAGTCCTGAATGAGGTGGCAGACCAACTGACCTCCTTGATCTCTAAGATCTTCAAATGTTCGATGCCTACAGACTGGAGGTTAGCGAGAGAAGAATTCACTTACCAGCTTAAGGCCAATTACTCTTACAAACATTTTTCCGAACGAACAGAGAAAATAATCAAAGCGAAGCTTATGAGGAATATTGATGAGATCAGCTTACTTAGTGCCCATCAACATGTATTAAGGTATGATCAACTTAGTCTCACTAACTTGCTTACATCTGTAGCACCATCTACGTAGCCCTACATTGTTCGGCGTGGGTATTGCTCGATGTCCGACAGCCACCATGCGTTCGCTTGTTATACAAATAACAGACCAACTGGGGTAGGTGAAAAGTCTGGCGTCGTTTATCTAATGCGATGTCGCGACTGTTTGCGCGATTATACAGGGCAGACCGGGCGACGACTTAGCTCGCGATGACCAGGAACAAATAGGTAGTGCGGAAATGCGGACCACTGTCCCAGACCGTTACCTACACCTCGGAGGAAAGCAACAAATTCAATTTAAGGGAATGCGGATAATAGTACAAGGCAGTAATAAGACGGGTGAGAACTTAGGAGACCTGGGCGTCAGACTCTGACTCCATCAACAGGCACATAAATATACCACCCTGTTATTTGCCCTCGGTTCACGCGACCAAGAAGAATCACCCAGTTCATGTCCAAGGATGCACGTTACAATGCCAAGCACGCCCGCGACGACGCCAAGGACGGAGGCGATGACGCCAAAGGCGCAGTTTAGGCGACCAGGTGAGAAAAACTGAGTGTGATCTCAACCAATCACGAATGCTATCTGCTATCTTATCGTAGCTGCACTACGAGGCATATCAATTCTTGCGGTACTCTCATTCCCTCTGATGATGGCCTCCTGTACGAGGATCTCTTTCAAACGGCCCCAAGAAGGAAGATCAGATGACATGATCTGAGCCGCACACAATAACGTTCACCGTTCTTTTCTCAAAGGGTCATTCCACAGTGGAACTCCTTGCCAGAGTCTCTTGTGTATTCACCCACTATGAACGTGTTCAAGAGGCGCCTGGATAGTCATCTGTTAAAGGCCAGTACAAACTTTCAAAACTCACTTAAAATAAATAACTACAAACATACTACTCACCTGATTTCAATAGATTTTTTTATTTGGACTAAAGGTGGTCTAGATGAATATTTCATAGTGGATATACAGTGAACGTTTTGTACACTGCTATTCCACAAACGCATCATTTTGTCAAACATTTAATGTTTCCTAAGTGTTTTATGAATTGTTGCATAATGAAAGCAATCCGTAGTAATTTTTTGTATATTTCACTACGCTTTTTGCATTCGTATACCGCTTCAACGGGGTTTTTAAAGGCTTCTGTCATTTACTCCAAATATACTGACTGAATAAGCTCGAAGGCTCAGACTGATAAAAGTACTGTCCTAGCGATCTTGCATTTGTCGTCTTTGCACCCATTCGCCCTCGACGAATGCCGCACTCAACACATGCAGTACGGGGCTGGGCTGCCAGATCGCCAACGATCCAACTGTTTAGATCTCATGTAGTAAACTACGAGTCATTAGGAAAGAAAATTAATAACCGTAACTTAGGTTACTTTTATTTACATGTGTGCTCTCCTTTATCCACAACCGAAACTAAAGGAAAAGAATAATTACAAAAGGGGTGTGTACGCAATGGGATTTTTGATTTCGTGGAAACCTTGCAAGTTAAAGAGAGCCATATCGACAAATTCTTGGAGCATTTCCAAGGAGTGATGGAGCGCCTAACCGAAGCCCATTGTCCAGCGGAAATCACAAGGCCGCATGCTCAACGTACATATGTCAATCTCCCTATAAAGAGGATCATAAAGAAGAAATAGGTGGGCAGGCTACTTGCATCTTTAAGATCCCATATCACTCACCGAATATAAAGGGCAACGAAAAGAAAGCCGCAAGCAAATACGGAATTTCACATTTGCTTTTTAACGTCTACTGACAACAGAAAACACAAAATGTTGCGGGAAGTTTCATGGGTACATCCGCAGTCAGAAGAGGCACCGGAACGAAATTGAGACTCTAAAGGATAGCCTCAGACAGATATTCAATGAAGGACCACAAAACGTACAGTTTTAAAAACAGTGTCTACAATAGAGTCCTCCAAAACAACTCGGAATTTAAGTGGACCATGATACAACCAAAGTGTTCTCAGACAAATGAAATCAGCTAAGTCTCTCGGACGGGATGGAATTCCTGAGATGATAATTAGGGACCTATCGGCCGACCTAGAAATACCTCTTTCGTCTTTTTCCAACTGTGGATCAGACTAGGGAGCTTACCTCTATAGTTTAAAAAACCGTCGTTGTTACCTTATAGACGAAAGGCAGAAAATAGCAGCAAACATAATTTGGTCTAAAAGCTTGAATTGCCCTGCTTTGAAAACAGTAGAAGTCGTTGTAAAACGGACTATACTTCAATTTTGTGACGAAAAGGACGTCTAACAGACTATTTAACATGGTTTTCGGCGAGAGCCTTACTGCCTCTCAGACTGGCTGACTTCTCTATATGAGCGGACCTGTACATGAGATGAGAGTTTCATCGAAGATGCAGTATGGATTCATTTCCGCAAAGCCTTTTATGTTCTACCCCATTAACTCCTTTTATATGAATTGAGCTTCCGCAGCACCAAGGGGAGCTCCTAAACCAAGCAATATAGTCTGCAACTAACCAAACAACAATTTTATCATATTTTAAGAACTCAGAAGGCACTCTCAAAGAATTACACCAGAGATAGTATCCTTGATAGTACACACTGGCGCATTGTGCGAGCAGCCAGAAAAAGCAACTTCCCTACCCTAGGAAATACCGGTCGAAATTGTGAAATATGCTTTCGATTCGAACATACTAATTCAGAATACTTGTACATAATATTGATTAACGAGCAACCCAAT